CGCAAAGCATGGTTTTGCCAGCCAGCTTGGAGGGTGCTTGATCTGCAGGAGGAGGTCAAGTGCCTCCGTGAGGGCACAGCTCTGCTGGGGACGGCAGAGGGTGCAAGAGCTGCATCCAGCCGGGAGGAGAGGAGACTTATCCATCCCGTTGTCAGGCCGGAGTGACTTTTCCTCCTCCGTGCATGGGGGAAAAGCGTGCTCCTCGGGCGCCTACCCTGTGCCCCAGCAGCCTCCAGGTGCACGCGGGCTCTGCGAGCAGGTTTGCAGAACGGTGCTGACTCGGACCCAAATCTCTAGGGCTGCTGAGGGAAGGGGATGAGCGGCAGATGGAGAGGGAGCTCCCTGGGTGGCTCTTGCCAAACCCCTCTGCTTAGCTTCCTCTGGGCTGTTCAGCGGCCTCAGAGGCTTGCAAAGCCGCAACGACTAAACAGGGAGCCGCGAGCGCACTGTAGTAGGCTAATATATGTGCTTGCTAAATAATGATTGATTAAACATTCAGAGTTTATTAGATCAATGCCTTTCTCTCTCGCTCTTATTCCTTATCCGTGACAGTTGCACAAGCACAGCTCGTTCCTCAAACACAGATAACGACCTTTTATATATTCAACGTGGAGTTTTATTTAATTGGTTGCTGGGCACCAGCTAAGGATGCTGGGGCTTGCAGCTCCCAGCCACCCTCAAGGGAAGCAGCCAGGCTGGATTTTGGGTACGGCAACCTCAGCCCTTGGCCCCAGCTGTGTCCTGGCTCTGCACCCCAGCTCGGCTCTGCACTGTCTTGCAAACAGGACCACCTCGAGCCCTTTCCCCGGCTGCCCTTCCTCCCTGGGCAATCCCTTTCTCCTTTATTTATGGATCTGTGGGATCCTGACAGGATCTTGCAGGATGCTGGGTGCTGCCAAACATCTTAGGATACCCTGTGGTTGCAGAGTGCCAAGGCAATGCAGCGTGCAGCATGTTTTCATCAGTGGTGGCCTGTAATTTGGGGTGATTAATGGGTTGGGTTTCTTTCTTTTGCATAACAAAAGCTTTCTACAGTATCTGTTTCTGGGGGAACAGGGCAAGAAGGGCACACTTTAACATGCCTGCGACACAGGAGGGGTCAGAGGGTCTCTGGCTGCTGCGTCCTCCCCAGTCCCTCCGTGGGCAAGTGCTGGGGTTTGTTCCCGCCGCGCGGGTCTCACCCCAACAGGAGCGGGGGGGTCTTTCAGCACCCCAGTGCCGCGCTGAAACCTTTTCCTTCTCTTGCGCTTTTGAGCGTTTGGGTTTGTTGCCTTTTTGAATGAAGTGTGGGCGACCTTAACAAAGAGATGAGGGGTAGAAAAAGAGCCCCTCTCCCTCACATGCATAAATGCCCAATTTTTTCCTGTTAAACACAAAGAGAAAATCAGTTTTCAGCCTGTGTGGCCTAGCCCCTTGGGGTTTCCCAGCCAGGAAGGTCAGATCCAGCCTGGCGCTCGGCAGCGGCTCTGGGCAAGGCTTTCTCTGCGCTCCCCTTGCCCTTGGCTGAGCATCCCTGCTGCTGCCAGCTGGGCACTGGGGGAGGCGGCAGCTTGAGGTCCTCCCCACGGGGCTCCCGGCCTGCCCCTCTTCTGGGCGTCCAGCCATGCCCTGGTCCGGGGAGCCGTGCCTGCGGCCCTGTGCCTGCGGCCCTGCTGCACAGGGACGGGCGCTTGCAGAGCAGCTCTGGTCGCTCTCACGTGGGAAGCTTTTGAAGCGCTCGATTCCCCTGTTGCTTTCTGTGGTTTGCTTTTTTTCAGGCCTGCTGTTGCTTGCTTTCTTTAATGAAGGAATTATCAGGCTCTGGAAGTGGTGATGACTTGCTTTCTCGCTCTCCTAATGCTTCTAAACTCTTTGCATTAAGCGCCTCCAGCCTTTCACTAGCCTCAGCGTGCGGGAGAATATTCTAAGCGCATCACGTCAGATCGATTCCTCACGCCCTGCGCTGGGCTCTGGTAGACTCTGCCTTGTCCCTCTAATGAGGCCTAATTGGAGATGTCGAGAAAACACCGCCTGCAAGATAAACCGCTGCACCAAAGGCAGCTCTGCCATACTTCGTTAAACAGAGAACCCGCTGCTGCCGGCCTCCGAGGCAGGTAATTAACGGACATGATACTACATCGGATGCGGTGTGGGGAATGGGTGGCCTGGACTAGCAGTCTCCTCCGCGCAGGGCAGAGCTCTCTGCCCCGCACCCTGGGGAAATGGGTGCTGTCCGGTCAGGAGCCCATTTCCCAGTCCAAACTGTCTCAAAGCGCCGTAGAGCTTTTTTGGAGTAGGGGTGCCAGTGCCCTCTGCTCGGAGCGCCTGGCGCTCTGCAAAAAGGCAGCAGTTGCTCAGCAGGGCCATAAGGCACCCCCGCTTGCCTGGAGGGAGGCATGGGCCTGCTGAGACCCACAGCATGTCTTTAGAGCTTAAGGTGACTGTGTTGGGGCCAGTAAGAGAGCAAAACCGGTTGCAGCAGCTCCGCTGCTGGTTGGTAACCTGGGAAGCTGCTGCTGTGCGGTTGTGCACACAGGCTTTGGGGGAGCATCCCACAAAGCAGCCTGCGACCCGCTTCACTCTTGCTCAGAGAGGGGTGCCGGCAGGTGTCCGCTGCTCCTGGCTCCCGTGCGCCCTGCACACAAGGAGCTCATTTCTGTCCCTTTGGCCCCTGTGGCACGGAGAGTTGCGCGCGGCGCTGGGCTCCCCGCCGTATCGTGCTTGTGCACAGCAGCAGCTGCTCAGTTCTCGCGCCGTGGGGCGTTTGCGGCGGGCGTGATGAGCTGTGCCCGTCAGGCTGTGCCAGCGGCGTCCCCGGCAGATAGTGCCATGGGATGCTGCCCGCCTGGGAGGCCAGGCTTTGCAAAGCCAGGCTCTGCCTGGCCTCGAACGGCATGCAGCGTTGGCAGCGTGCAGTTTCTTCCTTGGCTGCCGCTGCGGTCAGGCGGGGGC